ATATTTATTTATTTATTTATTTATTTATTTATTTATTTATATTTGTTGAGTAGTCTTTTTAAAAAATTTAATTGACTATAAGGCTACAAAGATTTATAATCAATTAAAAGTAGTAATTAAAAAAATAAAATAAATCAAATGATGTTTTAAATCTCACCCCAATTCTTAATATCTTATCATTACGTGATTAGGGTTGTCAGAACAAAGATTTGTTCGTGAACGGCTCGTGTTCGGCTCGCTAAGCAAATGAGCTGAATACAAACACACTTTTTGAGCTCGAAATATAAACGAGTAGAACTTAAGCTGAGTTTAGGCTCGCTTGTGTTACACCCCTATATATATATATATATATATATATATATAATTCAAATTTACATGTATCTTTTAAAACTAATGTTAATTAATCAGTCAGATTGATATTGAAACAAATACTGACATATTAATAATATTAACAACTAAATAACATTACAAGAACCAACCCTTAAAATAATTTAGACAGTAACTAAATTTGGAGCACGACTAAAATATATATAAAAAAAATAATTACAACCTTTTTTATTTATTTAAAATAAAATTACACTCATAAAGTGATTGGGTTACATAATAGTAAATAAACTCCACATATTTAGTAAATATCATCATAATCTATAAACATTAATATTACAAGAACTGCTCCTAATCTTTGTAAACAAACTAACATAATACCAAACTTTTTCTTTTGGAAAGTGAATCTCAAAGAGCAATTTTGGTGACTCGAATCCACAACATTATGATGAGAATCTTAGAGTCCGTTTGGAGCAACTTATTTGGTGCGGTGACGTTTTCACCTAAGCTGTTTGGGTAAACTGCGTTTTGGCAGCTTGTGTGTTTTCAAAACGCTGAAAATAACGTTTTCACACCGCACTTGTCTAGGTGTCAGCACCTGTCTAGGTGCAGTGGCAGCTTTCTGGCGGCGATCTGACTTTTCCAAAATAAAAATAAAAATTTATAATAGCTACCACACATAGCTTATAAGCAGATTATTTTTAATCAGTTTATCAGCAGATTATTCAATAAGCTGCAACTGCTCCAAACAAACCCTAAATCTCAACCACTATATTATGAACAAGTGCATCAAAATAGTCAGAATATCAAGCATCGTCGCTCAATCAAAAAAATAAGTCATTTTCCACACACCAATTTAAAAAAAATACACATTTCCACATCAAATAACCCTTCTAAGAACATCAAAACTGTCAGTACTACCAAAGAAACGGACCACAAAGAGAAAACCAAACAACCATACTAAGAACAAAAGCAATTCTCAACCTAAACTCGCCTCACTTATTAAAAACCCTAAAACATCAACACTAGACTTCCAACAGTTAACAAAAAGACGTGAAGCAAAGAAGAAGATAGAGCGCCAGCGGTAGAGTTTGGTGAGTTATCATCGTCTATCCCCTCCGGTGGTGTTGCAACTGGCGCTGCTATCACCTTAACGATCATTCTCTCTCCCCTCTCGCAATGGCCGCTGACGCCACTGATGAAGTAGAAGAGTCCCACTCTGTCGAATTTGAACTTAGTTCTGCCATTGTTGGAGAAGAAGATCGGGTGCATCGATCGACACTTGCTGTACTCAGACTCCGTCACCACCATGACTGAATCCTTATCGTACTTGAAATCTGTATTGTAACGATCGAAGGCGAGTCAAGGTTATAGACCGTGTATAATTCGTTTAGTTAAGGGAGGCAGGGACTTACGGATGGTGTCGTTGACTTTGAATCTGTTGTTGGAGGCCCATTTGTTGTAGAAATCGGGATTTTTGGAGGAGGGAATGGCCCATTCTCCGTCGCCGCCGATGGCGAAGTCGGTGGTGGGGAGAACGGAGAGGGAGGAGACGGAGGAGAGGGAGAGGAGGGAGAGGATGAGGAGAAGGTTGAGGAAGATGGGGAAGGTGGCTTCCATGGCTGGTTTCTTGTGCTTCTTTCGGCTGCAAAAGGGGTTGGGAGGAGAGCAATGTGGGAGGGAGAGAGAGGGAGAAGGAGAATATTGTGAGAATGGGGAGGGAGAAATGAGCGCCGCCGGTTAAGAAGAGGAGATAGGGGAATGACGTGGCAGATACAGATTTGAATTCGAAGAGCCGTTGGAGATTGAGGCGGGAAGATAGAAGAGAATCCGGGATGAAGGAGAACACAAAAAACGGAATTTATTTATTTATTTGTTTTTGTTTTTAGGTCGAGGAATTGAATATACAAGAAAAATAAAATTTACATATATGCCACACGAAACTTAGGTATTTATTTAACTGATGCCTAAAGTTTGATGTTTATGTTTATAATAATAAGATCAACAGATTTATTTCGCATAATGTTACAATATGATTAGATATGTAAATATATAAGAATTGTGTCGTATATATGTAAATATTATTATTATTTCTTTCTAAGCAATAAAAAATTGTGAATATAATATTTATTTATTTCTATCTTGAAATATTTGATCATGGAGAATTTTATTTTATTTTATTTTTCTTTATTAAAAGGAAAGAAAAAAAATGCATACAAGTCAGGTTAAATTCAGCCTAAATGGCTTAATTATCTTTGAATTGGGATACATTTTTCATTTCAAATTTGAAACATTACTAATTACACGAATTTTATAATGTTAATACATCATATGTTAATTTTAATTCAAAATATTCCAGCCCAATTTTCTTCTGAGGTTGAGTTTATTATTTAAGATTTAATTTGAATCATTTTAAATTAATTTGGAAAAATACATTAATTCAAATTAAAATATAGATTACATATAAGATTTATTGAAGCCCAACATAAATTAATTTGTTAATTTTAATTATATTTATAAAATTCACAAAATATAATTTATTTTGCTTGTGAAGTTCAACTATTTATAAAAATAAATTTATTTAAATATTTTATATTTTGTGTACTTACATTATACTTATACCTCAATTAATATACGCAATTTTTAAAGTATATACAAAATAATAAAACTGTTCTAATAACTTATAATAATTCATAAATATATAATTAAGATTTTTTTTTTTTCCTTTCAGCTCTTAATAAACAATTTGTTGAACAACAATCCTTTTTACAAATATGGACAAGTGAGGAGGTCAATGTTCAAATTTACACATTTAAATATAGGAATTTTAAATTTTAAGTTTAGCCAATTCATTTAAAGAAATATTTATAAATGAAGCGTACATAAGATTAGTGAAGTTCAAATTATTTGAGATGGATATTGTTTGAGGTTGATATAAGCCCAAAATAAATTTACACACAGCAATTAATTGAGTTCAAAAATTTTCAGGTTGGGCGATCGAATTTATGTGAAAAGAATCACACATTTATATAAAAACAAAAGTATCGATCCACAAATCAAATGATAATATGGCATGAGTTTTATATAATTTTGTATAAAATATATTACTCCTATACAACTAATTACACATTATTTTGCATATCTCATAAAGCTTTATAACCAAGTAAAAAACTTAAATTATATATATATATCGTGTACCCCGGACTGTTGGTTGGCATCCACAATATAAGACTCCTCAAGTCAGGGTTTTGAATCCCCTCTGACACGGTTAGCCTTAAAGAAATGGTAATTGAATTATTAGGCACATTAGGGTTTGTTAGAGCTTCCTATCTATGGTTATTTCTTTTATATATATATAACCATAGGCTATTATAGGAAGCTCTAACAAACCCTAATGTCCCTAATAATTCAATTATTATCTCCTTAAGGCCAACTGTGTCAGAGGGGATTCAAAACCCTGACTTGAGGGGTCTTATATTGTGGATGTCAACCAACATGCCGGGGTACGATATATATATATATTTGTATAAGAGAAATGACCATAGGCTATTACAGGAATAAAAAATTTTCTAATTAAAACAACCCTTTATCTCACAAAATCGGATCAGCTCCATAATTCCTTTTTTTTTTTTTATCATAACTAAAATATCATAAAATATATAGGACATATCATATATCTAAAAAATTTTTTTGACCATCTCATATTTTTCATTCTATTAACAATTAATGACAATTGACAAATTATTTAGCCCATCTTTTTCCAGCTTAGTATTAATAGATGAAAACGTAAAAGTCATTTTGAAATACCTTGCCCTGATAGCCATACCTAGACCTAAATCCCAAAAATCACGACCCTGTACATAACAATTTTGATTGCGAAATGAAATATAAAAATTAAAATTTAAGTCTTACATAGGTAAATACAAGGGAATTGGGTAGTATGTATGGAAATGCCCCCAAATAAAACTCACCTATGCAAATAAAAGTATACCTATATAACCCCAAAGACTTAGAAATCATTAATTTTTTACCAAATCCTAGGGGTTTAAGTGAATCAGACAGACTCGTTAGCTAGCTCGAGCTCGACACGTAAATGACTTGTGAACTAAACCCGATGAGCTTAAGCCAACCCCCACCAAACTTATTAGCTCATGAGCCAAGTCATTTAAAAAGTACTTAATCTAAAATATTAAAAATTTAAATATATATAAAGAGATACATTAAAAATATATATATATTAAAATTTAAAGAGAGATTAAAAATTTAAAAATTTTCTTTAAAATATTAAACTGCAATATATATAGATATATATATTATATCAAGTGTTCTCTTATTTCTATTTATTATTTCATTAGAATACTAGCTTAAATTAAATTTTTTTTCTCTTTCGTACTAATCATGCTAGCTCATGAGCTGAGTAAAGCTCATAGAATTAACATTAAGCTTGAGCATGAACTCAATTAATTAATCAAGCTCAAAGTTCAAGCCAAATTTGTGAGCATTATGATGACCACAACTATCAAACTCTATAGTGTCCAATGAGCGAGCACTAACAATGATAAAATTTCAAGTAAAAATCAAACAAATATAATCAACGAAAAAGTTCAAGAGGATTGGCACATGATTTGTTTTCTATATAAAACACAAATAGCCCAGGTTATATGTGCAATTTCCATCATTATCTTAATAATAACGCTTTAAAAAATCAACTATCACGCCATCAACAAACAAACATAACAAGTGCATCCATATAAAACTTATGTCAGCTTAAACATTTGAATAATTATATATCTACACACCATATTATTTAACATTTATTATCATAACAAATTATGGCATGTACCTTAAAAAAGGCCAACTAATGGGCGTTTTCTGCAGGCTGGTGGTAGGTCCTGCGCCGCAGTTGAGACTCAGATGTGGGCTGCTGTAAGAATATCCTCGTTGGATCATTCGGATCCACGTACCTATATTTGTATATCAAGATTAAATTTAAGAATCATAACTAAGTCTAAATCTAACTCTTAAAATCTTAGAATAAATACTTAGGATCCCACTTGGGATAGCTTTATGTCTGTTTGCATCTCGTACCACAATCACAGTTCTAATTGGGGAGTTGATTTATTTCTAATTTTTAGAATTTTTTTTGGGTTAAAATCTGCATTTCCAAATCAAATTTTTTAAATGTGATGGCAGTAAAAATATTGGTGCGTGATTTTTTGGGGAAAATCTAAAAAGTTATTTTCTTCTTCATTTTACAATCATATTTATGGAGAAAAATGCAGTCCTATCTGTTCGAGGCACTGAAATTTTTTGTGTACATGATTATAAAGCTATTATGGGAAAAATAATTTATTTGAAATTTGTTAAGTGCATTATAAATATTTTTATTTTTGAAAAATTCGGATAGCAACTTTCATAAAGCTACGACACTCGAGCATATTTGATTCTTAAAAGCAAATTTTCATCATAAAAAATTTTAAAATGCGTTATGAAAGCAGCAACCAAACCGACAAATGCCAGCGGTTTCAAAAGTAATCGGTAAGAAAGCTGCACCAAACAGAGCAGAGTATACTCACGCGCAACGCATCATCTCGTCGACAGGAGTCTGAGCTGCTTGAAGCGGGTCGAGGTGAGGCGCAGCCTCGGTGGCAGCAGCATAGTGTTGATTATACTGTCGCACAGATTGTATCAGGTTCAAGAAAAGGGGTACAAAGGTTCCACAACCGCCTTCCTTGAATAAGATCTTGAAGGAATGGGTGGAGTAAAGAGCCCTATGATGTTCTTCTGGGATGACCTGTGATTTTCATGGTAAGGCATTAAATACACAATTCAAATAAAATTCCAAATAACAGGGATGGTGATGGAAGAAAAGGTAGATTTGTAACATACAGGCTCCACTTTTCCAGAAATGTTGTTGCAGTGAAAAATTGGCTGGTTGAACTTTTCTTCATGGATGTGTAGCTGCAAATAAAATTTAAAAAAAAAATCCAGTCTTTCATCAGAGAGGATAAATACAGAAGTAGGGATTGGAGGAAGAAACATAACAAAGGCTAAGCCATATGTTGTTTTCACTTTTCAGTAAAAGAGAGGTTTTAAATTATATTTCAGATGTATGAAAAGAGCATCATATAAGCCACGTGAGAAAAAAGGAGCATTTACATACATACCACACAATTCCTATATACATATCGAATGCATAAGCTTTCATATGTATATGTATAACCGTTGAATATTTAGCATCACATCAAAAATATCATTTTTACTGACTTTTTAAAATAAAAATACACATTTTCATGCATAAATTTATAACATTAATGTGTTATAAATACAAACATCAAGGGGTTAGATATATAAATACATAAGAATTGTGTTGGCATGTAGGTAAATCTTGTAAAACACTAATTTTTGTCACTTGTGTATTACATTTACTAGTGTTAAGTTATTGATGCTATAACAGTTGAATATTTAGTATCACATCAAAAATATCATTTTTACTAACTTTTTAAAAGAAAAATACACATTTCATGCATAAGTTTATAACATTAATGTGTTATAAATACAAACATCAAGGGGTTAGACATATAAATACATAAGAATTGTGTGGGCATGTAGGTAAATCTTGTAAAACACTAATTTTTGTCACTTGTGTATTACATTTACTAGCGTTAAGTTATTGATGCCTCGTATTAATAGTTGTTTTTTTATTAAGGATTTAGATACATACCACACAATTCACATGTATTTACATAACTAACATCTTAAATTTGATATTTACTCAAATAATGCCTTAGTTTCACAATCTCATCTAAATATATACTAAAAAAGGGTGTATTTCACTTTCAAAAGTTTAACATTAGTACTGTTTTTCATGTGAAGTTTTTTAAGTTTTATACGAGTAAATATTAAAGTTTAGGTGTTAGATATGTAAATACATAAAAATTGTGTGATATGTATGTAAATCCTTCATCAATTAACTGTTCCTCACTCTCTTCATCCTAGTTCTATGGACACCCGATGAGCCCAAGGGCATGCTATGTTTTTCAGCACACTCAAAGGCGGTGTTTCACAAGATCAGTTCCCCACATGCTGCCCTTACATATAAATTGAATAACTAACTTTGCATGGTTCTAAATTAAAAAATAGACACCTATTGACCACTTTCAGACGAATCAAAAGCGAGGTAAAAAATTTCATAAATTTTCTTCACAATATTGCTTTCTCCATTAAAATCCTCGGACCTTTATTCGCAGTGTGATCCTTCTCACTTTTCTCCCTTTTTTATCAATATCCATAGCCTTATCACAGCTAATCAGAATCATCTCCGAATCCACATTTTCCATTCAATCTTATTTAGAGTATTTTATGAGATTTTTTTGCACAATTCATGCTTCGGCTTTTCCTTTTACCATTATTACCAGAGTAAATTAAAGTTTTTTTTTTTAAATTACATTCCAATTGATCAAAACTTCTCAATGCAGAACATCTGTTTTAGAATGCAGGTTAATAATGTGTGGTCGTGTTCCCAATCAATAGTTTGTATTTATCTATTATTATAATAAAAAATTATATTATTAAAAGACGACTATTATTTGATAAAAATGTATGAAAGAGAAAAATAAAGTAAGATAGAGGTTAAGCCTTCATACCAGGGGCATGTCAAAAGCTATGAAGTTCCCGACAGGCTTTTTTGATACAAAAACAATGCGCACATTTGATATGTAGATAATTCCCTTTGCTTTGACATGGCCACTACCAGATCTGCGACAGTTTGTTGGTTCAACAAAATAATTAATCTCCCCAAAAAGCAAAAATATGAGGCCTCTAAAAATAATTATAGGAAGACAAAAAGAACAACCTTTAGTTTTTTAGATTTTTTTTTTTTTTTTTTTTTTTTTTTTTTTTTTTTGGTGTACAGATCACACCTAAGAGCACAGGCAATAATATAAGCATAACAAAGTCCCATCTCACTCATGGCTAATTTGGGATCACTTCATTTTTTTTTTTTTTTTTTTACTTTTATTTTTGTTTACTTTTATTTTTTTCTTTTACTTTGAAAACATGTTCGTTTAGTATATTTTTTTAATGTTTTTACTTTTTGTTTTAAAAACAACTTAATTTATTTTTAAAAAAACATTCAGAACATCTAAAAATTATTTTGAATTTTTTTTAAAATAAGTAAACATGTGATAACTAATATATTTTATTTAAATAAAAATATATACAAAACAAAATAGAAACAAAAACAAAAGGTGAGTCCAAATAGGCCATAAGAGCTTTGTTGGGATCACTTTTATTTTTTGTTTTTGTTTTTTTTTATTATAAAAAATGTTTGTTTAGTGCGTTTTGTGCATATTTTTATTTTATTTTTTAAAAACAAATTAGCTTATTTTTAAAAATACTAAAAATCATTTGAAATGTTTATAAAAATAACAAATATACTATACCACACCAAACATATTTTGTTTTAAGTCAAAATATAAATAAAACAAAATAAAAAGCCCCTAAACAATTTATTGAACCTCTATCCAAATTCAATTGTTATAGAGATAAATTAAAAAGTTATATTGTGAACAATTACAAAACTAACCTACTCATGTGCAAGAATTACAAGGGGGGGGGGGGGGGGGGGTTTTTCAAATTTTTGGGACAATTGGGTTGAGGTTGAATTCTGAATAGTCTCTATGCCTTTTTCCTTTGCTTTCATTCCATTAAATAATAATCTTACAATCTATTTTAGGCAACTTAATAATACATATTCATGATCTAAATATTCAGCTAAAAAGGAAATAAATCAGAATAAAGATATTGGAAAGAAATTTAAATAAGAAAGCTCCTAATTATAAAAAACTCTCAATTTAGCTGTCTGCTTTCCGTCCTTCCTAATTGACACCCCCCTCAAATTGATATTGACTGATCAGAAAGCATCAATTTGTCAACAAGAAACTGATAACACTGTCAGGACCAAAAATCCTCAAACCGTGAATGTCGAAGCCTCTGAGACAACTACTGAACCATAACATGATTTGAGCAAAGAAAAACAAGTATTACTTTATCATTTTCACCCAAAAATTCGAATCATAGCCATAAGAAGGATCTGCTTTCAGTTACATGATCCAAATGCTACCAATCATAGCCCACAAATAGAATCCAGTTGTATGATCCAGGTGCTATCGATCATAGCCTACAAGTAGGATTCGCGTCCTGATCCAAATATTACCGATCATAGCCCACAAATATGATCCAGTTATACGATCCAGATGATATTGATCATAGCCTACAAATAGGACCTGCATCCTGATCCAAATGCTACCGATAATAGCTCACAAATAGGATTCAGTTACACGATCCAGATGCTATCGATCATGGCCTACGAGTAAGATCCACGTCCTGATCCAAATGGAATTGATTTTTCCTGCGACGACGAGGACGATTCCTTCCTGATCCAAATGAGTGCCCAAGCGGGTGTTTGGAGGTTGAGGTTGACAACGGGGCTACAAGACTGCGACAAGCGGGAGGGGGCTTCACGAATTGGATGTTAAAGAGAAAGAAGGAGCTGCTTTGCGATCGAGGTTCCAACAAGGGAATGAGGCTTGCGACAGAGAGAGAGTTAGAAGTAGCGTGCAAATAGCTAATAGGAATGGGGTTTTCGTCTGAGAAGGAGCAGGGATCGTCAAGAACGGGCACGGCTGCTATGGAGTTCTCGGGTTGGAAAAAGATTAACAGAGGCGTGTGCTGGGCAGCGGCCGAGCAGAGGAGTAGCGAAAGAATTACTTTCTGGGGATTTGGAGACTGGCGAGGAGGAGAGAGAGAGAGAGTAGGGAGACGAGAAGTAGGGGTGCAGCAAATCAGAGGCTGTGTCATAAATGAGAGGGAGAAAAGCGGGATCTGGAAAAATGAGGGAGACGATGTGATCTACCGCTTGCTAGAACGTGAGGGAGACCGAGCGCTGATGGGTGAGGGAGTCGGTGGTGGGTGTTGGAGCAGAGGAGGCGTTGTCAAGGGCGGAAGCCACTGCGGGTGGAGTTTGAAAGAATTAGAGGCTTTGTCGAGACTGATCGAGCCGAAGAGAAAGACGAAGTAGAACGAAGACATTGCAAGCAAAGAAATAATGGGACGACGAGCAGACAAGCGAGAATCAAGACAAAGAAATAGTACCGACCTTCTCGTCCTGCAAGAAGGTCGATGGGAAGGGAGTTTTGATAGTCCTCCAACGATTATCAGTGGTTAGGTCAAAAATTTGGCTCTGATACCATGTCAAAATTTTGAGAAAGATAGACTGAATTCTGAATAAACTTGATGTTTTTTCCCTTTGCTTTCATTTCATTAAATAATAGTCTTTACAATCTATTTTAGTTACAAAATATTTTGTATAATCTATTTTAGGTAACTTAATAATACATATTTCTAACTTAAATATTCAGCTAAAAAAGAAATAAATCAAAATAAAGATATTGAAAATTATTTAAATAAGGAAGCTCCTAATTAAAGAAAACTCCTAATTTAACTGTTTGATTTCCGTCATTTCTGATTGACAGGGGTGGTGTGGGGTATGGTGGCAGTATTTAATTAAAATATAATTCAATGAAGGTCCTAGGTTATTTCTTTAATTAAATTATTTAATTATTACAATAACAAAAGTCCGAGTTTTTAATGAGGATAGGGTTCCTCCACTTACAATTACAATTGCCACTTTCAGCTTATCTTTACCTTAATCTAATGTTTTAGTACCATCTCATTGCATGAATTTAATTTCCAAATGGAATTGTTTAGAGGGTACTGAATTTCTCTGGTAGAAGTCATCATAGAAGTTTCATCTCCTTAGTTTGAACGTAAAACATGTTTTGCAAAAAGGTCCTCATTCTTCATGAAAATGCATTTTATAACATTACAAGGCATATGTGAGAAAAAAAAATTACAATTTTTGTTGTCCATTTTGCACTACAGTAATAAGTTATTGCAAGCTACCACTTGACTTAGTTTCGGTTTTCATTTAACTGGTACCTGTATTTGTGAAGAGTTACCGTACTGCTGTAGGAAATGGATAACTCTGTAGCTTTATTCGACAATCTGAAGGTTCTATCACCCTGTTATAGACTACAGTAGCTTGCATATTCTTCTCTGAACCATGTTATCAAAGATTCATTTTTGGGATTGTATTTAACAAGTGAACAATAGTAAATGAAAATTGGATAACCAAAGTTAATTTGTTCTAATTAAATTGTTGGAATATTTACATACATGCCACTCAATTCATATGTATTTACATATCAAATATCTAAGCTTCAATTTTTACATATATTTTTACATATATGACACCATGTCTATGCTTGAAGAAGTGAATTTCACCATTTAAAAGTTAAAATTATGGTATTTTTTTATGTAATATGAATGATTTGGGTGGTATAAGTGTAAAAAGCTTAGGAATTAGGTGGTATGCATGTTAAAGGCCCTAAAATTTTTAAGTTGTTCTTTATTAAGCTTAAAATTTGGAAAATTCGTCAATGGTAAAATGAGGACCATTTAGACTAAATCGCCACATAACCTTTAGATAAGTTGCAGCTGCATCGTCAAAGCCATCGCCTCCATAACTCCACAGGGAAGTGACATCTTATCTTCCATGTAGCACTCATATGATTAATAAAATAGAGATTTACGCAATTTCAAAATTTCAGAAGCCACGGTCCCCAACAGATTCTTGCTCGAGGCCTGGATTGATGGCGATCGCATTCCATATCAACGTCTCCACAAAACATTTCAGATGATCTTAAAAGAGAAAACTCAAGAGATTGCATCTTCCTTCACGTTACAGTTTTCGTTGGTATTAATGTTCATAATAATTTTTTTCTTATTCTTAATCGCTCTTTCATATGCATTGGTTAAACTTGATTTTATGATCCTTTGCCTTCCAATTTCAAGTTCCTTGAAACATTTATGTGTTTAAGAAGTTAGATTTAGTACCAACAATCTCAGAAGTTGCAGCCCCAAAGAACAGTACTTCCTAAAGGCCGAGAACAACGATGCCACCATTCAATGCCAACTATAAACCTTTGTTAACCCAAATTAAGAAAGGGGAATGACATGATCCGAAGTAGAAATCGACACAATTTTCTAAAAACATTAGGGCAAACTAATATTTTTCTTCAATAATCCAAATAACTTAACAAAAATATAAAGATAAACAACTACAATTTGAAAGGTAGGCGATCTCTACCAATTCTTACAATTCAAGAGGTAGGAAATCTCTCCCAAACCCTAAACCTAAGACTCACAATTCAATCTCCCACACAAACCTAACTCTAAACACAATAGGGTTATTTATACCTAAGAATGAAAAATTGCCCTTATCCGTACATGAGACAAAATTGCCTTTAGGCTAGGGACCAACCTAACAGGAAATTTACATATATAGCATTCTAGTGTCTTAAGCCTATGCATAAAAAAACATATTTCACTTCTAAAAAGTGATAATAGTGTTATTTTGATGTGATATTATAGATTTGAGTGCTATGTGTGTAAAAATGAAATTTTAGGTGTGAGGTATGTAATTACTTAAGCAGTGTGCTTTATCACTGCTATGTATGTGCATGCCACATTAAAAAATATTAAGAGAAAGTGTACCATACACGAACGTGAGTTGTTTCAAAGTCTCCAAGTCCAACAACAAAAATATATCACACGAAAGCTTCAATAAATTATCTCCAACTCAAGGCTCATGCACAGGATCAACCCATAATGTCTCAATCTATAAAGCGAGAGCA